TCTGGCCCAATTGCCCTTGGTGGCCCCGTCCCGCAACCTCTCAGGAAATCAGCTCCTCCAGTTGTATAAATTAAAATCCCCGCCACCTAGGGATGCTTCTGGTCAAATTTGGTTAAATTACAATCAGCATCAAGAAGTAATTGTTGACAGACAGAGGACAAAGATATACCATGGTTCAGCGTCAGCTCACCTTGGTTGTTCGGACCAGTTGTGCTAAACAAAACAAAACAATAGGCCCAATGGGCCTGCATAACACCCATAACCATAAAAATTAACCAATGTCAAATTTATTTGAATTGACTAAATTAAACCACAGCCTAAATATCATTACCGAAGACTCTTGGTCATCCAAAAAGCTAAATCATCACCCTGGGTGTTTTGGTTATTGAGAACAATTTGAAAATAAAGGATATTTTTCAACACATCGACCCCCTGTGACCTTGAAAGAGGGTCAATGTCATTTAATAACTTTAACAAACTTAGTATCCCATCATCCCGTCATGATTCAAATTAACTAACTCCCGACATGATACTGGCCTAATATCATCACCCAGCATTGACCTTTGGTTATTAGGAAGATGCTGTTTGAAAATTTTAAGATATTTGGTTCCTGTGACCTTGAAAGTGGGTCAAGGCACTCTTTTAACAAATGGCAGCCCTTCATCCAAGAATGCTATTGGCCAAATATTATCACTCTTGAATAATTGACTAAGGAGAAGCTGTTTCATGATTTCAACACATTTGACCGCTGTGACCTTGAAAGTAGGTCAAAGCCATTAATGTGAACAAATTGTGTAGCCCTTCATCCTAGTATTCTACTACACAGATACTGTATCATCACCCTGGGCCTTTTGACTATTGAGAGGAAGTTGTTTAAGAATGTTCAGCCCATTTAGCCCCTGTGACCTTGAAAGTGACTCAAAGACATTCATTTTGGCCAAATCACCCTAGGTCTTTTGGTTAATCAGATGAAGTTATGTAAGGATTTTTTAAAAACATTTGACCACATGTACAGTGACCTTGAAAGTTGGTCAATGTCACCCATTTGAACAAAATTTGGTAGAAATTCATGCTACTGTTTAAGTATCATCACCCTCTACTTTTTGGTTATTCAGAAGAAGTTGTTGAATATTTTTTTTAACCATTTGACCCCTGTGACTTTGAAAGTGGGTCAAGGTAATTCATTCCAGCATGCGTGCTACTGGCAAAATTTCATCACCCCAGGCCTATTGATTGTTGAGAAGAAGTTTTTTGATGAACGATGGTCGCTGCATTGGGCCAGCTCACGGGCATAAATAGCTCACCTAATATATTATTTTTCAGTCTAAAAATAAATAGAAGCTCAAACGACTAAATCCCATTGAGTAGGTAGGACACGCAGGACGAGAGTATTCGTTTTGCCCCTCCATTTTGTTTATCTTCATGGGTAACACTTTCCATGTTATGAACTGGGCAGTTATTTTAGTTCCCAGTAGTGGTTCTCGGGACCTCTGGACCAAACCTAGAAACATGAATGTCTTTTTCTTTTCATGCTTAGCTATTTTATATCTGCTTTAAGAGTAGGGATAAATTCCCTCTATCAAAAGGGAAGGTGAAGGATTTTATCAACTTACTTCTATTCCACCTATTGGGCCCTGAATGTCTGCCCCTAGTGGCCCCATACTCTCTCCGCTTATAAAAAAACCTTGAGTCACCTTTGCCAAAGCTCTAGACAATGGTGTAAATCCCTCCATTCGTACGGCAGAAAAAGGATTTAAATAAAACTTTCCTATATTTCCCATATTGGGCCCCATGCCTCTGCACCGGAGGAGGCCGGACACCCTCTGTTATACAAAATGGGGTCCCTTTTGCTCAAAGATGCTCCAGAATAAATTGGTTAAAACCTCTCTATTGGTATAGAAGGATATGGTTTTTGAAGATTTACTTCAGTACCCTAGTGGTCCAATGCTAACTCCACCAAATAAAAAAAACTTGAGTCACCTTTACACAAGGATGCTCTATAGACAAAATTCGGTGTAAATCCCTTCATTCCTATGGCAGAAAAATTAAAGGATTTAAAAAAATAATCCTCTATTTCCCATATTGGGCCCCACCCTTCTGCCCCCAGGGAAGGCACATATGTGCACCCTGCATTTATATAGACTTGAGTCTCTTTTGCCAAAAGGTGCTCTAGAACGGTTAAAATCATTCCATTGGTATGGAATGACGTGGTTTTTTGAAGATTTACAATGTACATGTACTTCCCCCTATTGTGCTCAGCCCCTTTACCCCCAATTGTATTTATACAAAATTAAATCCCATTTGCCCGAAGAATGCTCCTGACAAAATTTGGTCAAAAAAACACTCGTCCATTAGGGACAAGCGAAGGAAAAAGCTGCCATATTAAGCAGATTTTTCCAACCTTTCCATTCATCAATGTAGTCTGTTTGTTTTATGAACAATTACTATGTCTTTTAGAAATACAAAATTGGATTACATGTATATCAAAGAGGACATTCATACAAAAAAGTTCTTTCAATTTTTTTTATTCATTTGTTATGTAGACTCAAGTATAATATAGTATAGTAGGAATGCAGATACATGTAAGTCTGTGAGAATTATTTTCTCCAAGAACTCAAAAAGTATTGAGGTTTGTCGCTTTCACCAGCAGACCACAACTTCGCATTCAGGACACAAGAAGGAGAAATGTACATGTACAGTCCATCAATATTAGGGAGAAGTTGTTGTTTTGGGTTGACCATCCCATCCATTCAACATTTATTATGAATTAAGATAAACAAAAAACTACAAGATATGACAGGGGTACATACCCTATAGAAACATGATTTACCACACAGGTATCAGGTAAACAAAGAGTCGTGCAAATGTTTTCCCTTCCACAAATCTGAGGACTTTCAGTTTTGAAAAGCACTATGAACAGACAAAATTTCTGACAAACTCTCTCTAGTAACAAACTTATTAAGTTTTCATTAGTGGACTATCTTATTTTACTAAATAATTGAGGCATCCCTCCTGTACCTGTTTTCAAAATGCTGTTGTTGACCCAATGAATAGTGATATTGGAATACAGTGCCGCACAGATACCTCTGTGTAGGTTACACGAAACACAATTTCCTCATCACAGATACCTCTGTGTAGGTTACATGAAACACAATTTCCTCATCACAGATTCCTCTGTGTAGGTTACACGAAACACAATTTCCGCAGCACAGATTCCTCTGTGTAGGTTACACGAAACACAATTTCCTCATCACAGATTTCACACTTGGAATGTCTTCCCTTATAATGTACTGAAATTTGCATTTATTCAATTTGATATAACTAATTGAAATTTAGTTAAATTTCAATTGAAAACAAATTTAATTGAAATTAAAGTAACTGAATAATTTTTTTTATTGAAATTTAGGTACATGTACCTGAATAAAAAAAAAAAATATGACATTATTGAACTTTAGGTAACTGAATATTTATTTTTTATCAATTTACCGGGTAGGTAACTGATTAAAAATAATAATTGAAATTTAGGTAACTGAATAAAAAAAAATATTGAAATTTAGGTAACTGAATAAAACAAGAGGCCCAAGGGCCTTAGCGGTCACCTGAGTTATATCATAGATACTGGTAGCTTTATTTTATTGTTTAGATGTGATGTGGAAATCAGCATGTAAACTAAGTGAAATTCAATACTTGTCATGTCATCAATGGATAAGAATTTGAAAATATTGGTAAATGTTTCCTTTGGGGCCCCGCTCTAGCCCCTGGGGATGGGGCAGGAATCCTAATTTTACAAAGTAAAACTCTCATTTACCCAAGATGATTCTGACTAAGTTTGAGCAATTTTCTGCTGAAAATATATAAAATATATACCGAAAAGTGTTATTTCCCTATATAAACTATATTAAACGTTAACCCCTCCCCAAGGGAGAACGGATAGCTCGGGGTCCTGATATTTTCAATTTAAATAAAGCCCCTGATGATCTTTCTTTCCACGTAAAGAAAATCACTGTAGTACCTCTGAGTCTGGAGAAGAAGATTTTTGAAATATTGATTAATTTTCCCTTTGGGGCCCCGCCCTGGCCCCAGGGGTCGGGGTAGGAATCTCAATTTTACAATTTGAAACCATCTACCTCCAAGGATAATTCTCACCAAGTAAAAATAATTTCCTACAGAAAGTTGTCAAAATATACCCAAAAGTGTTATTTCCCTATATAAACTATAGTAAACTTTACCCCCTCCCCAAGGGAGAACGGATAGCTCGGGGGTCCTGAAATTTACAATTTAAGTAAAGCCCCTGATGATCTTTCTTTCCACGTAGAGAAAATCACTGTAGTACCTCTGAGTCTGGAGAAGAAGATTTTTGAAATATTGATTAATTTTCCCTTTGGGGCCCCGCCCTGGCCCCAGGGGTCGGGGTAGGAATCTCAATTTTACAATTTGAAACCATCTACCTCCAAGGATAATTCTCACCAAGTAAAAATAATTTCCTACAGAAAGTTGTCAAAATATACCCAAAAGTGTTATTTCCCTATATAAACTATAGTAAACTTTACCCCCTCCCCAAGGGAGAACGGATAGCTCGGGGGTCCTGAAATTTACAATTTAAGTAAAGCCCCTGATGATCTTTCTTTCCACGTAGAGAAAATCACTGTAGTACCTGTGAGTCTGGAGAAGAAGATTTTTGAAATATTGGATAATTTTCCCTTTGGGGCCCCGCCCTGGCCCCAGGGGTGGGGGTAGGAATCCCAATTTTACAATTTTGAAGCCTCATCTACCAAGGATGATTCTGACCAAGTTTGAAAAAAATCCATCCACTGGTTCTTGAGAAGAAGTTGAAAATGTAAAAGTTTACGCACGACGCACGACGGACGACGGACGACGACGGACGAAAAGCGATTGGAATAGGTCACTTGAGCAAAGCTCAGGTGACCTAAAAATATATTGAAATTTAGGTAACTGTATAAGGTGTTCCTTACAACAGAGAACACACCTTTAAGGATTACCTTCTTTGTGTGACCTAACATGTCTCTTTAAGTTAGATGACTGTATAAATCTCTTACTGCAGACAACACATTTGTAAGGCTTCTCTCCTGTATGTGTCATTGTATGTTTTTGTAGGGAGTCTTGCCTACTGAATTCCTTGCCGCAGAAATCACATTTGTAGGGATTGTCTCCAATATGTGTCCTGAAATGAGTCTGTAGGTGAGACGATTGACTAAACGCCTTACTACATACATCACACTTATAAGGGCTGTCTCCTGTATGTATCCTGAAATGTGTCTGTAGATGTGACGACTGACCAAACCCCTTACCACAGATATCACATTTGTAAGGTTTCTCGCCTGTATGTGTCCTTGTATGCTTTTGTAGGGTGTCCCTCCTTATAAATTGTTTTCCGCAGAAATCACACTTGTAAGGCCTCGTTCCCGTATGAGACCTGAAATGTCTCTGTAATTTAGATGATACGTTAAATTCCTTCCCACAGACATCACACTTGTAAGGATTCTCTCCTGTATGTGTCCTGAGATGTCTCTGTAGGTGAGCTGGTTGACTAAACCCTTTACCACAAACATCACAATGGTGAGACTTCTTTGTGTGTGTAGTTTGGTGATTCATTAGGATATGTTTATTCTCAAACATCCTACCACAGACATCGCACTTGTTGATATTTGTCTCATCCATGGTTTAATGTATGATACTGTCAATCTTTAAGTCACAACACAATGGTTATCTTTTGTTTAAAACTTTTTATATGTATAAATTTCCGCCAATCTTCAAATACCTTCCATAAAATGACAGTGGAAGAGAGTGTTCGATGCAGCGTTTTTATATCATCAGAAGAAGATGGTAAAGACTGCCTTTTCTACACTTCTTGTATCCATGCATTCATCTGAAACACCAATAGAAACATTAATTAGAAGCATAAACAGAGAATCCTACCACTGCAGCTGGCGAATTAGCAATTGCATGGTTTAAAATCATAATCGATCATCAGTTTGTAAATGGAATGGGTAAAGCGATTGATGATTGACTCCATAATTGTTTATAATTTTATGGGGATGAATGTTTACCCAAATAAAGTGAGAACACCACTGTTACATCAATACATGTAGATGGAGTTATAAACTATGCATTAGGTTTGGTTATTTTATAATGAGCTGGGATTTCAAATGCAAGCAACTTTTATGTAGTCTTGTCAATATAAAGTTAGTCAAGAGGCCCAGAGGGCCTGTATCGCTCACCGGATATTTAAGCTACCAGCCAAATATTATCAGATGATTCTATGATTTTTGGGTTTTCTTCAGAAGTTTGAAGTGTTTGACATATTTGTCCCTGGGACCTTGTAAGTAGGTCAAGGTCATTTTCCTTCTCAAACTTCCAAGAAGCTACCATCCAAATCTTATAAAGTAATGCCTTTTGGTTCTTCAGAACAAATAGTTTGAAATGTTGTGACCTTTAAAGTAGGTTGAGGTAATTTCCATTTGCAAAATTTGGAGAGCTCTACCTCAAGAACCCACCAGCCAAATATTATGATACAAAGCCTTTCGATTAATTATTTAGAAGAAGTCATTTGATGTTTTTCACATATTTGACCCCAGTGACACTGAAAGTAGGTCAAGGTCATTTTCATTTGCAAATTTTGTTGTGCTCAATCTAAAGAAGTTACCAGCCAAATATTAAGATTCTATACCTTTCAGTTCCTCAGAAAAATGGCTTGAAGTGTTCGACCCCAGTGACCTTGAACGAAGGTGAAGGTAATTTTCATTTGTAAACTTTGTTAGGCTTCATCCAAGGAAGCTAACAGCCATATATTGAGATTCTATAACTTTCAGTTCTTCAGAAGAAATTGTTTAGAGTGTTTGACATATTTGACCCCTGTGATCTTATGAGGAGATCCAGGTTATTTTCATTTGCAAACTTTGTCAGATGCCATCCGAGAAAGCTACCAGCCAAATCATAAATCTATGCTCTAAGGTGATTCAGAAAAAGTTGTTAAAAGTGTTTAAGACATTTGACCCCTGTGATTTGAAAGCAGGTCAGGGTCATTTTCATTCTCAAACTTAGTCGGGCTCTATTCCAGGAAGCTATACAGACACGGAAACTCATCCTTTGGGATATATACCCTACTCTATACAGATGTTCATGCATCTCACTTTATTATACTACAAAGTGCAGCATAAATGGGTTGGGTCAATCCCCAGCATCCTCAGCATCATCACAAGGACAAAAAAGGTCAATAAATCTAGCTGCCAGAACGGAATGCATCTGTTGTAAAGATGAAAATTCAAAACATATACACATGCATTGTATATAACTTATAAGTGCAATCTGTTGTGTACAAACTTTGATAAGCATTTTTGTAACATGGATCATTTTTCTTAAACATGGTCTTGACTGACTTGCTGCTAATTTGCAATTTTGATTATTATATTATGACTTTGATGTGGAATGGGGCATGCAGTATATATTATATTTGTAAAAAAATATTCTGACCTCAAATATGTAAATATGCCATTATAGCCATACAAATTCTACCTTGATTGGTGATATATGTGAAATGTTAGAATGCTATGGACAAAAAACAATGCCATTAAATCATTATCATGTATTTGAATATATTTACATGTAGGTATTTACCTTTATATTCTATAGGTTACATGTACATTGTATTTTTTAAAGATATTTATGAATTATTATTAAATTATAACACATACTGCATCTTGTTGATCACTTTCAACCTTTGAGTATTAAACTTCAAATGGCGTGTCTCTTACAATGTGTTCTTGTATTTTATATAAGTAATTTTACTTAAGAATTTGGCATTAACATAAGTGTGTGTTAAATTCAGTTTTACATTTCATTTATCACAGATGCCGAACAAAAGAGGTGCAGGCCAGACAGGCAGAAGAGGAAGAAAACTGCTGAAGATGTGTATACAATTCAGCATGCCTACATTGACAGGGAGATGGTGAAGACCGATCTACAGATCACCCTTTTAAAGAAAAGTTTAGAAAATTTTGAAAGTCAGCAAGACACTGTCAGCCTTCTAGCTGCTTTGTCTGATTAGCTGAATATTGTGTACAAGGACATCTTGGGATGGCTGGGATGGCAGAGTGCAATAATTAGGTCACTGTGACCTATGACTGACCTTTGACCTTAAGTTTTGAAAAAGTTTGTCCGGGGCATAGCTTCTGTACCATTTCACATGGAGTTTGTCAGGGGCATATCTTCTATACTATTTCACCTGGAGTAACCAGATTTGGTGTACAAGGACATCTTGGGATGGCAGAGTGCAATAATAAGGTCACTGTGACCTATGACTGACCTATGCAGACCTTAAGTTTTGAAAAAGTTTGTCCGGGGCATATCTTCTGTACCATTTCACATGGAGTTTGTCAGGGGCATATCACCAGATTTCAGAAAATTCAGAAAACTAAGAGATCAGCAAAGGTTTGTTGTACTACCAATGGAGACATTATTGAGGCTGATATTTATAACTTATTAATTGACTTAATTCATGTATATAAATTTGTTAAAAATTGTATTGTAAAAGATTATTTCAATATTTGAATGTATGTAAATGATGTTTATACTTTTTAGCCCACCATCATCAGAGTATGGGCTGTTCAAATATCTTTTTGTTCATGGTATGGTTGTCCATCCTTAAATTCTTTCACTCAGTTTAAAGTTTGAAGTTTCTGGAAAACTTTTCTCCATACATATTTGGATTGTCACTCTTTTACACTGTTGTTTATTATAAGGTTGAGGTACTTTTATAGAGTGAAAACAATGTACTGAACCATATTTTCATATTTTAGGGGCCAAAACTGATTAATTGGACTTGGTTAAAGTTTTGGGGCAGGTTTTAGGTTAAAATTGGATCACCACCATCAATAGGCTGTTGACTATTTTACAATGTCTGGTCACATCTTTTCTTTAGAAATGTACAACATGTTGAGGTACAGCAAATCCTCCTTATATTGCCCCATTTTGTTCAAAGAAATGTTGGCATTATAAAGGGATATGGCAATAAATTGAGGGAAACGTATAAAGGAATTCTTTACAAGTACAGAATTAAGGGACCTTAAAATATGTTGGGGGTGAGCAAGGTAGCTAATGAATTAATTTATACTTTCTATCTTATAACATTATCTATTACCTATAGGCGAGCTATGCTGTTCTCCAACAGCTCTTGTTTGAAAAGTGGTCCTCTTTAACGAACTAAAATGTAATACTGTGAATATAAAACAAAACAAAACAGAAAATCTGTTTCAAGTGCATTTATTAATGACATTTTGATTAGAATTTGTGGACAACTTTTATTTTTCACCAACATTGAGTATGGGCAATCCACACGCCCCGTAACTATTTTTCACCTACATGGAGTAGGGGCACTCCACGTGCCCCCAAACTTTTCCCTGACATATCAGACACATAACTGAAAGTTGAAAAAAAGTCCTAGCTATGTGGTCACTGACAATACGGCCATCCTGGGGTCCTTCATAGACATCATCCGCAGCTTAGATATGTTCAATATCCTCATCCATAACAGGCTCCTGCAAGGTGACGGCAATGTTGTGGAGGACCGCACAGGCAACAATTACCTTCACCACCCTCTCAGGTTTCATGCGAATCTGTATCAAAAAGAAATCTTTCTTATGGTAATTCTGAATAAGCAGAAGGCTCAGAGTGATGATATCTAGCCAATATGTGCTGAGATAAGGGCTACCAAGTTTGTTCAAATATATGATCTTCACCAATTTTCAAGGTCACAGCTGGGATCAAGTGTATAAAACAAATTCTTTTTAATATTACATCACAAAGCTAAATATGGTGATATCCGTCCGGTTCCTTTATTAATGTAGCCCATTTTAATATGTTTGCCCTTGGTCCACTTTGATGGTTACTGGTGTGAGATTGACCAATTCATGCCCATTGAGACAATACCCAAATAACCCTACTACACATCATGTGGAATTTTCTCAAGTTCATTTTCACTTAATCGAGATAATGTCCTTATAATTAGTGTCATAGGTTTTATCAATTTAAAACTGCTCATAACCAGAAAAAAAGTAATCATAGAAGATTAGCTCACCTCTGAGTGAAGGACATGGAAGCGTCTTTTCCATTTCCCAAACGTCATTTCAATAGTGCTCCTTGTCCTTGCGTGAGCTATGTTGTAAAACTGTTGTTGAGCATTCTGGGGGTTAATGTAAGGGGTTAATGTAAGGGGTTAATAGGGAAGGTCGGCAGGGATAGCTTAAATCTCCTAAAAGAACCCCATTCTCCCAACTCCGATGCTGCTCAAGGTACAGGCAAACCTGTAGAAATAAAATATAAATTCAAAATCTTTATTTAGAATTAAGTTGCAATTTTATCTGGCTGGATAAATACTTTTGTATACCACTAGTGGTATATGACTTTGTGGAGTTTTGATTGGCTGAACTTTGACCAGAACTATGTCACTGTGAAGTGTCAAATTTAAAACATGTTCAACTATACTTCATAATTGTTATGAAACTTCTCTGATGTTATTCATAATCTAATTTCTATCAGTATTCATCTTCTCTGATGTCACTCAGTGTCTAGCTTAAAGAAACTTTTATTTCATTTTATTTCATGTAAAAAAACTTTTTGTCATGAAACTTTTTTTTTTTTGGTCAAAGTTCATGCAATTTTAGTCTTCGTTATAGGAGTTTGGGTTACAAACTTTGAAAAGCTTGTTCTCAAGTTCTTCAAGGATTAGGTCTTGATATTTGCTTTCAGATTTGAGAGAAACAAGTGAACTTGATTAATTTTCAAGGTCACAAGGGACAAACATGTGCAAATACTAAACAACCTCTCCCAAATAAGGAAGAGGCCTAGGTCCAAGATATTTGACACGAATTGGCATCCCTGAATGAAGTGTTTAAATGAATGATCTTGACATAGATTGAATGTGATTTGAATTGTTACTTCAAAATGTCATCTTCGTATTTTGATAATGTTGGCATTGTATCAGTCCTTTCAGTACTTTGATTTATATCAAACTAAAAACAAAGCATACTTTAATTTCAGTACTGTAGATAACCTGTTCTTCTCAAAGAGGATAGTCAAATTGTTATCAATAATGTCTAGTTAGTTTCTCTTGTTTTTGTTAATATGCTGTAAATAATGTTATTGATATTACTGTTGAATAAACAGGTAAATTGTTTCCTCTGTTTGTGTTGTTTATTATTCAATTATAGCCTTTGGCTGAGGTTGATACCTGGATTTATCGACCCGAGAAAAGAGGGTGTATCTCTGAGTGCCAACATTTTTAATTTCCATATATATATATTTATCACATAATGTACTGTGTTATCCAGTGAATATACTCATGTCATATTTGTTTGCGCATGAACCCATGTAATATGACCTATCAGCCATGTGATTGGTTGTAAGTTTCAATTGTTTCAATTGTGATATCACGCCTAGGACAAGTACATGACGTCACAGACTTACGCATTGGAGTCAAAATGGCAGCATTTAACATATCAAGGTTGCATGAAAATTGTCGTTTTACACGAATAAATGCCACAAATCTTGATTATGTGA